TCAGCTGTCACTTTCATAAAGGCAATAAAACCTCCCAAAAATACTTTAAAAAAAAATTCTCAATCAATAATCTCAACCAATTTCCTCCAAGCATGACTTTTCCTGTCATTGTTGTCTTTGGGGAGATGGACCTGAAATTGAAGCAGAGTTTTTATTTAGCAAGGGAATAGCAGAAGACGGCATCTCAAATCAAATCGAATGGACCGGAGCAGGCTTTTATTTACCCTGGCATCACGCTCATTTACAGACTAATAAAATCCTGGCCTTAACATTTCTAATTCCCGCACTGAACGAAGGTCTTTTGAACGTAGAATTAAACCTGGATGACCTTCACGAAAACCTGCAATAATTTGCACTAATTGATTCAAGAAAACCAAATAGGCTACTCAAAGCCAGGTTGTCACCAGTAACCTGAAAAACTGCACCCTTCACAGGTGTGACAAAAAAGGGCACCTGCATTCCTTCGGTCTTTAAAATATTAAGCTCATCAACAAATGGCTTTCAAATAGGATCAAACCCATATTTCTATTAGTCCTCCGAGTAAAAGAGGGCTATGAGATGAATGTTCATTAACACAAAATTAAGCTCTGGTGGCAAATTTCTCAGAATAATCGGGAATAGTCGAGCTGGATCTGAAGAGCATGTTCTTATTGTGAGGAATAAACTGTGATTTTTGAAGTAGGAGCCATCAATTATATCTCAGTAAATACCCTCCTGGTGGGGTTTTGCTTTTTGGAAACTGTCACATTGTTCACTGTTCCTAAACATAGATGAAAGAGTCCCCATGATGTGGACATACTGTACATGAACTGATTATTGACAGGAACTTGCCTATATGTGCCAGTTGTGCCAACTATTTTCCCATTTTTCCTCAAAATGCCTCACCCTTTTAGATTCTGTGTTAAGACATGAGAGACAAGACGTGAGAATGGATTTTCAAGCCTATCAAAAAAATCCTCAACTTTCTCCAAGGTTTCTCTGGATCCATTAGTTGACAAACAACAGCTTCTTTTGAATGAGCATGGATGTCCTTAACCAGTTCCTCCATTGACCCAACTAAATGCAATCTGATATGATCCTCTGTCTGAAGAATGTTGGCCATTTTGCAAAGAATTTACCAGAAACTTCCTCACCAAAGAGCATTCTGAAGTCTTTGTCAATCTTAAACACAAAATATGACAATGGAAAAAAAAATTTGCAAGCAAACAAATAAAGCAAGCAGAAAGCTGTCAACAATTAATTTCTTTACCAAGCCTGGTGTATCCAGGTATCTTGGAAAATGATCTAGAACAGAGGAGGCTGTGGCTGGGTCTTGAACCATCTTCGGTTGCTGAAATGTTACCTTCCTTTTTATCTTTGACAAGTGTCATGTCAGTTGAGTGCCTCATCACCGACTAGCTTCCTTGCACTCATCACCTGACAACTGCTTCACAGTGCAGTGTTCAGTCTTCAGGCCATCTTGAAAAGTCGACTTGGACTTCTTGATCTCTGGAGCAGTTGCGTGGGACAGTTTTCAACCTCCATGCCAGATAACTGGAACCAAATGTTCCTGTTGATTTAAGGGAAAAAAAGTTAAATCTGTTCCCTGTTTAAGAACAAGCACAGATCCTGTACAGACCTTTGGCATGTGTGTTCAATTCAATGCAATGAAGCACTGCAGCATAGACCTATCTAAATTGAACACTTAATTGTAAACGCCTAAAATTATTAATATTAGTAAAAACAACAAGTAATTTAAAGTGCACATTAATATGACTCTCCACCATCTCACCCCTTCCCTGTCCTCTCACTTAAACACTCCTTGTGCTACTGTCCAGCCAACCAGTAGCCTATCTGCTTTTCATCTTCCCTCGAATCAACAGATATCCCTACTGATCATGTCTTCCCGGTCTTCTACACTTTCCACCACACTGGTCAAGGCTTGTCTCCCTACACTCTCCCCTCTCATTACACAAATTGTTCACTTCTCCTTGTCAACTGGTACTGTTCCCTCCCTGCTCAAAACTGCTTCAGTCACACCCATATTAAAGAAACCTGGCCTGGACCCAAACAAACTCAATAACTATCGACCTATTTCAAACCTATCATTCATCTCAAAAGTTATAGAACGTACAGTAGACTGCCAACTTCAAGATCATCTATCAAAAAATAACCTCTTTGAGCCTTTTCAGTCTGGTTTCCGTCCTAACCACAGTACAGAAACAGCTCTCATTCAAATAACAAATGACCTTCTTTTAGCAGCGGATTCTGGCCTTCTCACCATCCTCATACTCCTAGACCTCAGTGCCGCCTTCAACACAATATCTCATGCCATCCTCCTGGATCGTTTGGCCGGCACTGGGGTCTCTGGCATCCCTCTCCAGTGGTTCCATTCCTACATATCTGACCGTTTTCAGTTCATCCAAGGAGAAAATACCAGATCACCATCCTCACCACTCACTCACGGTGTTCCACAAGGTTCTGTTCTGGGTCCCCTACTTTTCATCATCCATATCCTCCCTCTCGGCAATATTTTCAGTCATTTTGGTATTCACTTCCACTGTTATGCTGACGACACCCAAATCTACATCACCACCAAACCAGACACTGCATTATTACTATTACAAACTGGATGTCAAACAACAAGCTCAAACTCAATGGCAATAAAAGTGAAGTTCCTCTCATCGGATCCAAATCATCACTCTCCAAATCCCATCCCCTCAGTATTCTCATCGATATCTCTCCAATATGCTACAGCCATATATCCCATCCCGTTCATTCCGTTCCTCATCTACCACCCTGCTTTCCACCCCTTCCTTCTCACTTACCTCAATGGGTGCTCGGGCTTTTAGCTGCTCTGCACCTAGACTCTGGAACTCACTTCCACTACACATCCGCTCTCTGGACTCCATTGACACTTTCAAGTCGCAACTCAAAACATACCTTTTTAAAAAGTCTTACTTGCTATAAATACTCTGGCCCCCAACTGTTTTACTCTCTGCATTCATTTATTTAACTACACTGTATTTTCTTTGTCATTTTATATGTATTTTATATGTATTTTTTTTATTTTATCCCTATTTCTGCAGTTGTTTTTTTTACCTGTAAGGTGACCTTGGGTGTTGTGAAAGGCGCCAAAAAATAAAATGTATTATTATTATTATTATTATTATTATTATTATTATTATTACCATATCTGCCACAATAATAAGTATGTTTACCACCTTTCTTCTTGCACCATCAGAAAGGCAGTTTATTTTCTCATATTCTTTCAATATTTGGTCACCCCCTGGCTTTGAATACAGCATCTAAATGATGAAGCCTTTGAAGAAGACTCAACACTGTGGTCTTAAGAACACACAAACAAATTATTGTGTTTACAAGATTAACAACAGAGCTACATTGACTACAAATTATTACATTAAGCTATTCATTTTGAAAGAAATACAAGGCTGTAATTTCTTACCATTGGACTCTTCAGTGAAAACCTTGGAAGATACATCAAATGACTTCATAAGTTCATCAAATATGTCTGAATCCACTTCCACTCCTGGAGAATCCAAAATTCAAAACCAAAAAATTTTAATTTTGCCAACACTAAAACAGAAAAGATAACTAAGGGTCAACATGATTTCAAGTTAAACATAAAACAACAGTGAAGGCATGAATATGACACTAAAATTACGGGACTTTGCCACTATGAATTCTTATATTTCACTGTAAACAATTCTTATTTCTGACATAAAAATACAGTTAAGTTTAGAATAAAGTTTCTGGGGCAAACTAAGATATATATAAAAATATATAAGCCAAGCTAGCACAGTGCTTGTGTAAAACATAGCATAAGTGGATAAGAAATTACTGGCAGAACAAATTAAAATATTACTTTTCTACATGTACATGCTTGTGCTTTTTGAACAGGTGTATTTACAAAGTTTTGGCTTTTTACTCGCTAAGTTTCCATTGTACTTACAGTAACGAGCGGTGTTATCATCAACCAAGTTCACCTGGTTCACGTCTGCATCGCAACCTCTCTGCTCATGGACTGTGTGTATGGAGGAGCGCAGTCTGACATTTAAGACATTTTTTCAGTGAAAAAAAAAAAGAATATTGCACACGTAACAGCAGGAGGTGGTGGTATTTTGTAGAAATGAATAATTGCACCGGACAAAAAATATATTTATATAAAGCAGTGATTTAGCAAATAATATATGCTAGACAAGGCTATGAATATACAGTACAGATCTAAAGACTAATGTGTATGTAAGAAATTATACTTATATATATACACACACACACACACACACACACAACATACAGACAATATAACAAGACAGATAACAAGATTACGGTCATTATAACTTACCACAGCAGTAAGAAAAAATGGGGACCAATTAAATACTAAATATTAAATATTAAAATAAATATTAAATACATTAAAAAATAGAAATGGCTTTAAGTTTCTACATCCCACTTGTTTAAGTTGCATACTGGACCAGGTTTGACTTCTAAACTATTTGTGATGTCACAAATCCTGCTCGTAGGCCCCTGCCTCTTAAAATCTTTTTCAATAAGCACAGAGAAACTTTCCACTTTCAGCAGATGAATGTGAAAGCATGTATATTCAATAATAACATTTCCTGCATATTAAAAGAAAAAAGTGGTATCTTAAACATAATTTTAAGAATACAACTAACTAACTAACTAACTAACTAACTATGGTCAGTATGGTCCGTGGTCATGCTAAATAGTTGAAGTGTTTATCATGAGGTGCTGGGCCCAAGGTAATGCCTACTTTGGGATAAATCCAACTAGTTTGGGCTTGGACTGGAATTTCAGGCCCGTGTGGACCCTCGTACAAGCTCCAAAACACAACCAAACAAAGTTTGAAATCGAGAGAGAGAGAGAGAGAGAGAGAGAGAGAGAGAGAGAGAGAGAGAGAGAGAGAGAGAGAGAGAGAGGTGTGTGTGTCAGACCTTGGGAAATGAGAGAAGATAAACTAGCTGTATGGCTGAGAGATTTGGTCAGAGAGCTGCCAGAGTTCAGCAGTGTCTCATCTCCTCTTTTCTCTGATGGAGAATCTGGAAGGAGCTCAACTCTGCTTTCCACAACTCCTCAACAGCTCCTGCAGGAAGCCAGTGCATCCTCAGACTGGAGTTATGCTCCTCTACTGTCTCTCCTTCATCTCTATACTCACTGCAGCTCTCAACCTGCTGGTCATCATCTCCATCTCCCATTTCAGGCAGAGATACACGCCTCAGCAGTGCTGTTATACTGTTATAGTTCTATTCACAAAGAAGAAGCAGCTTTAGGATAGACGATAGATGTTTTTGTATCCAGCTCTCAGATTTCCGTTTTAACTACAATTAATCTTTTTTTCAGTTATTATTATTATTATTATTATTATTATTATTGTAAACACTGTTGGTGTTAATATTCATATTGATGTTCTTTCACTCCAGGCAGCTCCACACCACCACCAACTTTGTCCTCCTCTCTCTGGCTGTCTCAGACTTTCTTGTGGGCCTCGTGGTGATGCCGGGTGAAATCATCTTAATGGAGACCTGCTGGTTCTTGGGTGACCTTATGTGCGCTGTGTATTACTTGTTAGCCCTCATCATTATCAGTGCCTCAACAGCAAGCATGGTGCTCATATCAGTTGACCGCTATGTGGCTATCTGTTACCCTCTGCATTACCCCACCAAATTCACTCTAAAGAGAGTCCGAATCTGTGTTTGTCTGTGTTGGAGCTGCTGTCTTTTTGTTAGCGTTCTCCTTCTATATGATCACCTGAAACAACCAGGCAGGTATAATTCTTGTTATGGAGAATGTGTGGTTAACATTGCAGGAGATGTGGACCTTGTTTTAAGTTTTATTATTCCCATATCTATCATCATAACTTTGTATTTGAGAGTGTTTGTGGTGGCCGTCTCTCAAGCTCGGTCCATGCGCTCCCACATCGCAGCCGTCACACTCAGGTCTTCACAGACTGTAACTGCTAAGAGGTCTGAGCTGAAAGCAGCCAGGACGCTTGGTATTGTTGTGGCTGTGTTTCTCTTATGTTACTGTCCATATTACTGTGTGTCTCTCACAGGGGGGGAAATATTGATAGGCTCTACAACTGAGGCCTTTATCGCTTTTCTTGTGTATTTTAACTCCTGTCTAAACCCTGTGATCTATGCCTTTTTCTACTCCTGGTTTAGAAAAACTGTTAGAATCATTGTTACACTTCAGGTAATGCAGCCTGGCTCCTGTGAGGCCAACATACTGTAGAGAGACAAAGACTTATACATGGATTAAGTCTGTAGTGACAAAATAATCTCAACTGAAGGTCACTTACTAGCTTTTTCGGGGATTCCAACATGAGCAAATAGTATGCTGAAGACTGTGAGATGTGCTAGAAGGCCCATAAAAAGTGGTAGACCTTTTTGTTCCTGACTGTAACTTTAATGTTTAAGTAATGCTGTTCTTGTGTTGTATGTGTAATAATGTTTAATGCATCCATGTATTAAATATTCTATCTGTATTCTATCAGAGTTTCTTTTATGTCCTGTTGGTGACACATTTCTTAGGCTTAGCTTCACTCCATCACTGCAGCATTCATGTCTTTGTACTTATATCAGCATATACATTGAAATATAGCAATATACAACTGAAGACAATGGTGTTCTTTCCTCATGATCTTCAAGCTGTCTTCACAAGACGAATGAGAAAAAATATTTATGTATTTTGGTAATATAGACTGGTCCTCAGCTATGTTTATTTATTTTATGTGAGGTTATTTTAAACTTAAAGTTATCTGCCTCAGATTTAATAAAAGAAAGAAAATCAAAGTATGTGTCGAACTATGGCTCAGAAATTTAGGTCTGAACTTAACCCTTCTTTTTTTTTAGTTATTGTATATAATTCAAGGACTCATTCCATTTAATTTTGAATACAATGAAATAATGATGACTTATGGTGGTCCTGCAACATTTTGATTGGTCCTTCTATGCTAATATACATATATAGAATACTTTTTTTGTAAATAAAGCTTGAATCAAATTACTTGTGATCCATTTTGTGAACTCTGGTTTATGCATTAAACCTCTCTGTCTATGCACTGCTGCCATCTTCTGGTGAGAAGCAGATGTTGGATGACAAGAATAAGAGGCTGATAATCTTTTAGTGCCCGTCTGTGGAACTGCTTGCGTTCATAGACCTAGAATTAATAATAATAATAATAATAATAATAATAATAATAATAATAATAATAACAATAATGAATAATGGCATTCATTTTTATGAAATGTTTTTAGTGGATCACTGTGTCCCTGCTTCAGGAAGAGGTAGATTAATTATTAGACTGTGGTACAGATGATGCTATTAATACCATCACACCTGGAAGACCCTAAAGCTTAGGAACGCTTACTGTTCATTGATTTTAGCTCGGCATTGAATACATAATAAAATGGTATTTTTCTGGTACCATACTCAGCAGGTCAGAGTCAACAGTGCCCCCTCAGAGCCCAAACTAATCAGCACTGGTGCCCCTCAGTGCTGTGTCAGCTCCCCGGTCCTCTTTACACTATACACAAATGAATATAGGAGAACACACCCTGAGAACTTTATTATTAAGTTCTCAGACAATACAGCCATCCTGGGAAAATAGTCTGAAATAGAGAGTTATTCATGCAGCGCTGCCATACTAACCATCTTGTCTTGAATGTGAAAAGGACTGAGCAGATGGTTTCTGATCCTTTGAAACTAGGGGTTGAAAATACTTTAAAACAATACAACAATACCATAATACATTATAATATTATACAATTATGAGCAGTCTATTATCAGACAGGCACAGAAAACAGTTTCTGATCCAACCCAGAGTTCCAGTTTCTACCCTGTGTAGGATGTTGGTCATGAGGGTTGTGCAGTATGTCGTGTGTGTGTGTGTGTGTGTGTGTGTGTGGAGACTGTCAATGGGAAGCTGTGTGTTGCTGCTTTTTGTTTGTTTTTGTTTTTTTTCTTTTAATTGTTACGGGTTACGTTGACTTTAAAGACCCTTCTCCTTTCTCTAATGAAGTATCCATAACATGTCCGCTGCTGTGATGGTCTTTCTCTGTGTTAGGTGACAGAGCTCCTTATTTTGACATTAGCTAGACAATGTCGGCGTTTGATTGATTGATGTTTTTAATCAAAGTCTGCCAACTTCACCTGGCTTCCTTCCGGTAGACTTCGGTAAGGTTGCAATACCATGTTTGACCACACCGCCTGGCTGACGTTTACCAGCTGTAACAACCCAGAGGGGCGCTGTTTCTCTCATTTGAAGAAAGGAGCGTTTAAAGGATCAATAAAAAATAGCAATAACAAAGTATTATAATAAGAAAGTATTAGTTTTTAATTTCACGGCCCAACTTACACAGATGATAGTATCTTTTACAGCACAGTTTTCTACGTGACAGGAATCATACAGGTATTTTGAAATAATTATGTCAGTATATAGAAAGACAGAATAAGACAAATTTGTCCACATTAATGAAGAAATGGCTCTCAAAATAAGTGGATGGTTATTGGAAGCAAGTTTAAATCATCTGAAACAACTAGCTGAGTTTATTTTTTTAGAAAGAAGAAAATTAGATTGGAAAGTTTTAGTTATAATATTTTTTTTCTTTTTAATTTGGTTGGAAATGACTAAAAATGTATCCAAAATAGTACTTTCCGTCAATACATTTGGGTAGGACTGTCCTTGAAACCTGCTTCTACAAAACATTACGGGTACAGCACAGCTGGATATGGGACTAAAATAAATTTGTACTCGATCAAAACAGCTGGGACCAATGATGTGGGACATGTTGCACAAATGGAAAATTGCAGTCAAAGATTTCTCAAGAACTCAGACAAAGAGATTAGTATAGTTTCAATGGTAGTTTAATTTTAACATTCAACATAAGTATCAATTATCATCACTCACATACTGTAGTCATGTTATTTAAACCTTGAAAATGGAAATTACTGACTTATTAGTTATTTTTATTGTCAATAATCAATGACTAAGGTGTTCAATTCTGTTCACAATGAAGAACTAAACCTTTGATCAAGAAATGAGGGGATGACTAGAGAGGAAAGAGGGCAACAGATAAAAGATGAAGTTTTGTGAAAACAGGAATGGGAGAGATTGAGAAAAAAGAAGAGGGAAGAGATGGTGAAAATGAATGGCTGCAGAAAATAAAGGAGATATCTTGGACAAAGACAAGAGTGGGGGAGGGGAAAGGTATGAAGAACACAAGGATAATACTGATATGTCTCAAACCTGCTGTAAATAAACTGAAATAGTGTGATAATACTTTGCACCTGTTGTAAACAAAGCAACAATATATAAAGTTAACAATACAGTAGTAGTTACATTATAGTCTTTTGTTATACTTTTAATCATGTTAGTCATCTATGGAAAGTTTTTCTCAGCTGTGTTGTGCTACCTTGGTTCAAATCCTATTCTTTCACATGACAAAGTTACAGAAGCTACTTTGACGCAGCAGTCCTTAATGTGGAGGTTTGCTGTGATCAGACTCGAGCACTCTGTCTTTTGGTATATAACTGCAAGCACCTTTTTCAAACCTCCACCTCACGCTGTCAATGTGGAAATTTAAACCATTAACAAATCATGAAAAAGCTCCACCTTAAACTTCAAAGTACATGCTCCATGGAAATATGTGTCTTTCCATATGCACCTGCATATGCAACGATCAGACCTGCATTATACATTGTTATATAACACACTGAATACATCACACATTAACACTGTAAGAGGAAGAAAAAGGTTCTTGTTGATGCTGCAATTTCACATTTACATGAGGCTATGGATATATGCTTTCTACAACACATAGTTCATACCAAGAGGGCTGTGGCGTGATTAAGGCTTCTTTCTTTTAGCTTTTTATTTCAACACATTTCACAGGGTCTGCCCACACAACCTGATTAGGAGAGAGGGGTGTTTATATAATGCAAGCATCAGTCCCTTTGGGAACTAAGGAAGGCCACCACAGAATTTTTGATTGTGTTGTCATGGAGACAGGTGTCAACCGTCACATGTGACACAACAACGTCTTTATCCAAAATGAACAAACATTCAGTAGCAGCCGTTGACAACATTACAGCAACATTTTTGACTTTTGAAGTACACCAAGGCACTTGAACTTAAATTAATTTCAGTCAGTAATTTCTGACTCATCCGTTAAGGCAAAATGCAGTTGGCTTTGGCATAATGGTTTTATTCAAAATGGCTTCCCTGCCCAGTCAGAAAATTAAGTCATGTCGAGCAGCCACTTAAAGAACTTAAACCAGCTGTTTTTAATCCAGCGGTTTAACATCTCACCTAGCTGCAGTGATGTAAAAGTGCACCCCAGGGTGTGTCAGTACACTGTGACATCACTGTTTGGGGTTGTTACAGGTGCAACAGAGCATTCTTATGACCACAACCAACTACACCCAGCAGTGATGCACGGTAGAAACATACAACCACAGAGGGCAGTGAAACACTGTTTTTCAGCCTGGCATTAAGTTACTTGTTAGGTGAATATGTGATTTGATTAAAATGGTTTCCTGTTTCCACCTGAACTAACACCATAAGCTCTCATGACGCATCTGGGGTTGCCTTGGTATCTGTTTTCTAATTTTAAATGTCAGCAGCTAATAGGTATAGACTCAGCATGAAACTGAATTTACAGTAAGATTTCCCTATTGCTGTATTTGAATGGGAATTCCTGATTTATGATGTCTTATTCTTAACGAACATTATATGTCTATCAGATTTTCATGTCAATCCTCATGTGGCTCCAAGTCTGGTGTGCAACAGGAAACTGAAGAATAACACAATATTAGAACAAACTGTTAAATCATCTCTGTGGAAAGAGTCTTTTATGTTTTCTCAAAGAACTCACATGTGAGAAAGATGTCCATTATATAGTGAAGCAGGTTAGCTAGGCACATACAGTTCCCTTTTCTCTCCAAGAGAGAGGGCAACAAACGACTGATAACTTTTCCTTGTTGTGGAATCAAGGGAGCTCTTCTCTCTCAGCCCTCCTCTCTCAGTGTCCAAAGCCTCCCACCCACACATCAGCACTCACATTAACATCATGCAAATACAATTGGAAAATATAAAATTCATTGGGTTAGGGTATATATTTATATAGATTTATACATACATATAAATTCATATACTTTTAAGGAATGTTAATCTATTTTGCTGTGTATTTTTTCTCCTTACAAGGTACAAAATAACTTTTCATACTATGTAACACAATATATAATCAACATATTAAAAAAAACAACTTATCAGTCCTTTTATCATCTTTTAGAAAAAAAAATCCATAATAAAAATAAGTTCTATGTTTTTTCTCACTTATATCTTACAATATATTTTCTCTCTGTCAAAAAACACGCACACATGTCCCATTTTTGTTTTTGTTTGTGGTTTCTCTTGGCAGCAAATTGGCGGTCAAACTGAATGTGTAGAAAAAAAAATTAATCACATAATGGTGGTGCTCGTCA